ACCCTAAGCCCTAAAGCCCTAAAATCCTAAACCCTGAAACCCTAAACCCCCAAGCCCTAATTTCCTAAACCCTAAGACCCTAAAACCCTTAAATCCCTAAGCGCTTATAAGCCCTAAACCCCAATTAAAGCCTAGAGCTGGCTCTGAGTTTTCCAAGAGCAGGTTCGTGCTCCTGATTCAACTCCTGGTCCCGATGGCCATCTGCCGCTGGTCCTACTACCAGTATGACGCCTGGCTGCATTTAGGGTGGTTTGTGTACAAGGGTTGAGGGTTTAAGGTGTAAGGGTTTAGGGTGTAAGGGTTTACCTTCAACGCCTCTTCGGGATACGTTTTTGAGCTGTAGAAACCTTTGATCCCCCATGTGGGTTCTTCTAGAATGATCTGGCAGACAGCAGATGCACCGGGTCATGAAGCCGTGACCTATGGATGGCGAATATCAGAAGTCTGCTTTGGGAAAAAGCGGTAAGCCAAGCAAGCTACTTGGAAACCTCTTACTACTTTTTTCAACTTTTTCCCAACGCTGCAACTCCGAGAACGTGATGCTGGCAGAAGCTTCTGGGCTCGAGGCAATGTGAGATCCACTTGAGGTGGCGTTCATGCAGCTCTCATGATGTTCATCCACGCAAAGTCAGAATCATGCCACCCCGGCGAGTTCCTCACCCTAAACCCTACCTAAGCCCCTGCCTACACCCTAAACCCTGAACCATTACACCCACGGGCGAAAGGCGATATCGGATCTCTCACACCGTGAAGCCCCAAACCAGGCCCCCTAAACCTGTGGCGCATGCCCTTGGCATGCTCTGAAGCCCCAAGAATTTATGCTCATGTCCTGAATCCCAAGGCCTGTAAAGATGAAAAGTCAAGACGTATCGAAGCCAAGTTCTTGCTTGCTCTGCTTGAGGACTGGCCGCACACGGAGATTAAGCTCGTCAGGAGCTTGGAAGCTTCCGAATGCTTTCCGGACGCCCCTCTGCCCTCCCGATCTAGGAGCCTGAACCCGAAGTTCGAGAAGCTTCGTTTCCGTCAATAGAGCGTGTTGCACTTGCGACCTTTACTCCAACCTCAACCCTATAAAAAAGGGGTCCTTAATAATTAGGATATGGTTTGGGGTAGATTCTACAACCATTTTTAGTAGGGAACCCCAAAACCCAAAACCCTATTCTAATTATCAAGGCCCCTACATGAGCCCTTAGAAGCCAAGGTCAGATATAAGTTCGGCGACTTGGAATTCGGCGTCTCGCACGTTCTGGGCCGGCTGCTCTCCTTCCTCTTCACCTACTGCATCTCCTTGCACGCCATGTCCATCACGAGGAAGGCAAGGCTTCGGAGATTAAGGTTATAGGGTTTAGGGTTTAGGGCTTCAGAGATTAAGGTTATAGGGTTTAGGGTTTAGGGCTTCAGAGATTAAGGTTATAGGGTTTAGGGTTCAGGGCTTCAGAGATTAAGGTTATAGGGTTTAGGGTTTAGGGCTTCGGAGATTAAGGTTATAGGGTTTAGGGTTTAGGCTTCAGAGATTAAGGTTATAAGGGGGTCCATCACGAGGAAGGCACGGTGTCAGAGTATAAGGGCTCCAAAGGGTGCTTGAGGTTACATCACGAGGAAGGCAAGGTGTCAGAGTACTATCAGGTTATAGGGGCTCTAGAGGGTGCTTGAGGTCATAAGTACCAGGTTACAAGTTGTGTGGGTTTCCTGGGCTACAAGGTCATAAGTCTTAAGGGCTTTATCGGGCGATGCGTAGGTTCTACAGAGGTTTCTTTTTTCTACCTTAATCCCAAAGAACCTACCTTTTTTTAACGGACTTGTATAAAGAAACTCTAACAACCCTAAACCCTAAACTCTATAGAGGGGATTTCTAGGGGCTGCAGTCAAAGACCAGGCTGCGACCCGAAGGACCTTGGCCTGAAGACTATAGGATCCTTAAGGGAGGCTTGGTGCCCCTCTGCTTGCCTTAAGGGTCCATGTACCCCAAATCGGTTTAGGGTTTTAGGGTTTAGGGTTTTAGGCTTTAGGGTTTAGGGTTTAGCATGTGCCCAAAGTAGGATAAACGCTGGCCCCAACGGTACCTATATAGGGACTATACTTTAAGGCCAAAGCATATACTATTTGGGTACATGGACCATCCCAAAGAGTAGAAGCTTTGCCGCAAAGTACCTAAAAAGGGACTACTTTACGGCCAAAGTAAATACTATTTGGGTGCAAGAGTATAAACTTCGGCCCCAAAGTACCTTTTTAGGGACCAAAGTATATGGACCCTTAGGCTTGCACTTAAACCCTAAACCCTAAACCCTAAACCCCAAACACCGAAGCCGTAGACAGGACAGGAGCCTCCACCACCAGGTCGAAGTTACCATGATAGGGAAACCATGTTATCTACGAGAAATCCCCCCAATTATGGCAGCTTTAGGGTTTAGGGTTCAGGGTTTAGGGTTTAGGAAGAACCTAGTGTGGCAGGGTTTGTTCATTACTTGCTCTTGTCCCGGGTTCTCTCCCACGCCACGTCACGGCCCAGGCATGCAAAGGCAACCAGTCTTTGCGACTCGAAGCGTGTTCAGTCGTATTTGTCGGGTTTGTCCTTTGACATCTCCGTCGTCTGGAGGTTTCAACCACATGACAGTGTGGTCCAGGTGTCCGGTAGGGTTGCAGGCTATACTTGCTCAACGAAGGTTCTTGCTCATTAGCAACCTGCCGGAAGAGTCCATTCAAATCCCACCGTGGACATATGCGCGCCTTGACTCATTGACGGCCATTGTCGGACTCTTTGTTCATGCACACAGGTTGGCTTTGGGTGAGGGGATATGCTTCAAACTATTTTCTAACTTGGGCGTGCCCATGGGGTGGTGCCAACTACGAGATCCAGAGAGCAAGACCACACCATTCTCATGTCCGGATTTCAGGTTGGGGCCATGGCCTCAAGTGTAGTGTAGGTCTCACGAAACCGACAGCAACTAAGGTACCTTTTCTTGGACGGCTTCATGACCTGCTACTTAACGATGGTCTCTTTGATTGCCATGGCTCCGCGTCGGCAAAGGGCATGGAGCTGCTGGATGCTCTCGAAGCCCAGTTCCCGAACATGAACGAAGGGGATTAGTTAATATTATGAATAATAATATGCACTAATCGTTAGGTTTGTAGAAAAGATTGTTGTAGATTGTAGCGTGGTGCGGGGGGCAGGGCGATGGCGGTAAGCAAGGGCAACACGGAATTGATAGT